CCTCTCCCTCTGCCTGCCGCTCTGCCTACTTGTGCTCACTCTCTCTCTATGTGTCAAATAAATAAATAAAATCTTAAAAAAAAAAAAATAAAGTGAAGAGACATTTTTGTCTCTCTCCCCAGAGAAATTTTCTTTACAGAGGGAAGTAGGATAGGTGAAATGCAAGGGTTTTGTGTTTGTTTTTTTTTCCTCTTTTCTCCCCTGTAGTAGTCTACAGACTAAGAAATATTATCTCAGAATTTCTTCCCTTTCTAGAAAACGGTCTGCCTAGAAGAAAATAATTAATGGAGTTTAATGTAGGTTTTTTTCTGTTGTTGTTGTTTTTACGACTGCTAAATCTGTGCTTCTGTAATATTGTCATATTGTAGAACTCCCTACCATTGATAACTGAATACAGGATGATACTTAAACACACAGGAACAAAGATACTGCCAGGTTACTCCAGCTGTTTCAGTATCACAGGGATGATGTTCTACCTTTAGGTAGCTAGGTATTCAAAATGTAAGACTAAATCCTCCTGGAAAACAATTCCACTCTTCAGAGACTTTTGTTCACACATTAGTTAGGTAATACTAATAGCAGACACAATTATTTTTTTAAAAATTGACTATTTACTGAAGAGGCAAATTTGATATATTTTTTAAAGATTTTATTTATTTATTTGACAGAGAGAGACACAGAGAGAGAGGGAACACAAGCAGAGGGAGTGGGAGGAGAGGCAGGCTTCCTGCTGAGCAGGGAGCTTGATGGGGGGGCTCGATCCCAGGACCCTGGGATCATGACCTGAGCCGAAGGCAGACGCTTAATGACTGAGCCACCCAGGTGCCCCAAAATTTGATATTTTATAATAATCCTGAATAAGTCCAGATATAGTTAGAATATATTATTTTTCAAATCTTTTCTCATTAGTCTTTTTTTTTAAGACTTTTTTTTTTTTTTTTAAGGGGCTCCTGGGTGGCTCAGTTGGTAAGGCGTCTGACTCTTGATTTTGGCTTAGGTCATGATTTCAGGGTGGTGAGATTGAGCCCCATGCTGGGATCCTTCCCTCTCCCTCTGCCCCTCACCCCCCATACTTTATTTTTAAGTAATCTCTACACCCAACGTGGGGCTTGAACTCAGGACCCTAAGATTAAGAGTCACATGTTCTACAGATGGAGCCAGCCAGGAACCCCCAAATTTTTAAGATGTTATTGTTTTCTCATTAGTCTTAAATCAACTCAACTGTTATTAACTAGAATTTCTTATCTCTTCTTTTGTTTTTTAAAAGTATATTCACGTAGGACTGTGAATATGAGAATTTTTAGAAAAGAGCAAGAAGATATAATAGTATGTATGCATTTTCTCTAGCTGCTTGCTCTCAGGTCCATTCCTTGCCTTTTCCCTCCTCTGCTCTTTATCACAAGAGATTACTTTTCCCGAGTTCACCCTATAACTCCCCGCTAGGTTTGGTCATTGAGAAGCACTGGTGAAAGGTTGGAGGAGAGGAGGAAGGGGACAGGCAGAGGTTTCTCCCTCCCTCTCTGGCAGTGCTCACCCCTGCCCTGGCTCCAGCTCTTAACTGGCAGCCCCCGCTTCCAGCTCTGATGGCACCATTTCTTCTCCAAGTCCCCTAGGCACTAGCCTAAAGGGAGCCGCCTCTTGCTGAGCTAACTCAGAGTTGCACCAACTCTGAGTTGCACTACTGGGGGGGGGGAGGGAGTGGGGGGGGGGAGTGGGGTGGGGGGGCTCAGCCTCAGCTGGTCAATCACCTGTGTAACCAATTCCCTGTCTTAAATTCTCTCTTTGAAACACTGGTTTCTATTTTTCTGCCTAGACCCTCACTGATACAAACACAGTGGAACTCTTCATAAATAGTCCTCTAAGGCTTCAGGTAGATGTCATTAATCCAATCTGTTGACCAGATTGGATTAATGACATCCATTAATTAAATCCATTAATTAAAACTGATTTTAATCAGTTTTAACTGTGACAGTTTTAACTGTGACAACACATGCCCAGATTTAATCATATTTTCTACCTACAACAGCTACCCCTCCTATTTTTATTATCCTGGTCTGATGGCAGAGAATCCCATTTTGCAAATTCATTCTGAGTTACCTATATTGCCTTCCTTTTAAAATTCCTTGGGAAGACAAAAGTTTAGCATTTGGTCATAAAACTGTATTTCAGTCAAATTAAAATATGATTCAGGAGTTAAAATAGGTTTTAGGGGCGCCCCTGGGTGGCTCAGTTGGTTAAGTGTCTGCCTTCAGCTCAGGTCATGATCTCAGGGTCCTGGGATTGAGCCCCGCATCGGGCTCCTTGCTCAGCAGAAGCCTGCTTCTCCCTCTGCCTCTGCTTGTCACTCCCCCTGCTTGTTCTCTCTCTATATGTCAAATAAATAAATAAAATCTTTAAAAAAATAATAAAATAAAATAGGTTTTATATAGCCTCTAAAGCTATGCATATTGCTTCTTTACTTAAGACTTAAAGGGGAAAAACCCTTTTGTAAGCTTCAAAAACTTTTTGTTTACATCATTTTCCTTCAACATTTTATTTTAAATCTACGGAAAAAGGGATATGATAGCATTTGATAAATCTATATATAATCTTTGCCTGTATTCACCACTTGGTAGCATTGTACCAGTTTGCTTTTTTCTCTCTCTGAACCATTCAAAAGTAACTTGGAGGCATCGTGACATTTCACTACTAAATAGTTTAGCGTGTATTCCCCTGCATAACCACAATACCATATTTATGCCCAAGAAATTTAACAATGTAGTCCATTCTAGTTTCCTGAATTGTCCACAAAATGTTGTTGATAGCTTCCCCCAAAAAATCTTTAAAAAGGAACTATTTATGCTAATATAACCAGCTGGCTGACATAAAAGAATGATGAACAAACGTGGGTGTCAGGTCACTTAGTTCATGTTCTTATTTGTACATCCAATCGGCAGACAGATGAAAGTTACATCAGCTAATTTTGCTTCTCTTAAATAATTTTGATTAAAACTCTAAAAGTGGGGGCACCTAGCTGGCTCAGTCAGCAGAGCATGTGACTCTTTGAGCCCCACATTGGGTATAGAGGTTACTTAAAAATAAAATCTTTTAAGAAAAAATAAAAATAAAACTCTAAAAGTAAAGGTGTGGCTGATTATTCATTTAACTTAGAGTTGGAGATAATCTACTCCACTTGTTTACACTACAAATCTGGACTAAACGCTTGCAAACCAAAAAACAAACAAAAATGATGTTTTTTTCAGTTCATTACTTCCCTGATCCTTTCTTTGTAGGATATTGACCTAACATTGATTGGTTTATTATAATATATATTTAACAGTTGATAAGCCTTACTCCTTAATATTTTCTTGCATCAGTGAACGAAGTTCCTCTTCTTCAGAGACAAGATATTTTTCCCCCATAGATGGCTCAATATTAAATTTCCCATCCTCTTAATGGGTATTCTTGCAAAAATATGGAGACTATTTATATTGGAAATATCTTTTGACCTCCTGCTGAAATTCCTTGAGCTATGTACTTATCCCTGATGAAGAGTGGCCTTGACGGCTTAAAGAAGCAGCCAAAACCTCTTCTACTTTAAGCTAGTAGTGCTGGTTTTTGCACAGTGACAGCTCTCAAGATTATGCATTAAAGTGAGTCTTAGGTGCAGGCTCTCTTTGCTCAGCCCACATCTTCTAGTTTGGGCAATGCCTGATTGTGCCATTTATACTCCCAGCGTTTCCTATAAAATTCTGAAGGGGCCAAGGACCCAAGGTGGGACACTTTGACGTGAAGATTATTCTGACTTAAAAGCAGTCAAAGCCCCGCAGATTCAGGAAAAGCTCTTTATCTCCCTTCAACTGCCTAAATTTGCATTGGAAAGGAGAGCCTGCGCCAGGAAGAGTTACTAACAGAGATTCTGCTTTACCTAAGAAACATATTTGTATAACAGCGCAACCTTTGTTTACCAAAATCTCTTCTCACCTTCATGCTAATGGTCTTTCTCCCCTTTGTATCCCTAAACCCCTATCTCCTCAGCTCAGGATGTCAATCAATGAGCTTCCCGTTGCCTGACTATCTTTGGAATTTCATGTCTGTGTGGATTCCCCATAGGGATGAAACTAAATTTGATTTTCTCCTGTTGATCTGTTGGTCTCATGTAAATTTAATTCTTAGTCCAGCTGGAAAAACCCTGGATAGAAGAAAATTTCTTCCTCCTCAATAGCTGGCCTATTTAGCAGGATACTTTGACTTGTTGGACACAGCAGCAGCTAAGAGATCCTTGGGAAATCTGACATACAGCCGGCTGAAGGTAAGATTTTTTACCCTGTCGGTCTCGTGAGATCCCTATCTGTGGAGTCTGTCTGATGGAGCAAGAGTAATGAGTGTCCTTTTTTATCTAAATTTAGATTAGCAGGAGAAAATACTTGTGGAACTAGTTCCTCAGGCTTAATAACTCTTGGTAAATTTAGTGGAATACGGATCCATTTCCTCTTGAGATGGTCTTTGTTTTTCTTTGTCTTTTATGTCATTTGTCATATAAACCTTGCTGTAGGTTAATGTGAACATGAGGTAAAGGCTGTTGCTAAGGGACATCTTTGAAGTCCAGAAGTCCAAGCCACAAAACTAGTAGGCATGGGTCAAGCACTTAAAAGCTGTTAGACAGAGAAGAAAAAAGAAAAAAAAGGCTATTAGAATACTTACCACCTAACTTGAGGACTCCTGTGTTAGGATAAGTTAGTCATGGAATGGATTAGATTGACACCAGGTCACCTGCCAACCTCAAGAAAATTTCCATGCAACATTATAAAACATCACGCAATACCAACCCCCACAGTACATCCCTCCTACATATTAGTTTGGCTCCAAGAGCTCCAAGGCTTAGTTAAAGCTGTTAATGTGCCTCTAAGAAAAAGTGGATGAGATTTTTCTTTCATCTTGTTCTACCAGTCCTAAGAGCCTGGCTTTGTGACCAGTGATAGTATTCTCTTTGGTCTCCACCATCCAAAGGGTACACTTACCAGGGTGCACTTTGCAGGCCAGTCAAATAGACTAGGGTTCCAAGAATCTGGACGTGCCAGCTCCCACTGCATTTGTCATGAGACGTCCCAGCTGGGAAGTTCCTCCATTGTCTCAACCTTTGTTGCTTCTTAGCGCTGGAAAGTCCCATCCCAGTAGTGTAAGCGGAGTTAGGGATCCCTATAAAAAGAAAGATGAAACATAACTATGGTGACATAAGAGCAGTCATTTTAGGCCTCCAGCTATTTTCGGTGATCCATATATGCCCTTGAGCTCTACTTGCTTCAGCATACTGCTTGTATAACTGCCCAGACGGTGTCAGAATTACAAAGAAGTACAAACATCTCAATAGATAAGGATTTTAAAGGAACAAAGGGAATGCAAAAAACGGTCTCCGGGTGTCTGGGGGGGCTCAGTAGGCTGCAGGCGTCTGACTTCAGCTCAGGTCTTGATCTCAGGGTCCTGAGATAGAGCTCACCAAGGAGTCAGCTTGAGATTCTCTCTCCCTCTCTCTCTCTCTACCCCTCCCATTCATTCTCTCAAAAAAAAAAAAAAAAAAAAAAAAGAACAGTCTCTACCTGGCCAGGAAATAACCTAACCATATCAGAGACAATAAATCAGTTTGAAAACTCCCAGTGCTATATCAAAGGTAAGCAAGACCCTGCATTCCTTACCTGAGACAGTTCCCTCTGATTCCTTGTAATGTTAAAGCCTCTGCCCTAGGAGGAACATAAGCTTCATAAACATAACCCTGGATGCAGGTATAAGCCTGCACAACTTTATGTCCCCTTTAAATGCCATGATGAAGCTGCCCTCTCTGAATATTCATCCTAAACCCTAAATAAAAAGAACCCATTCGCTCTAGCTCAGGGAGTCACAGCTTTGGAAGTTATTTGCTGCAAATAAAGTCTCTTTTGTGTGACAACTCCATCTGGTGCAGTCTCCACCTGTAATTCACCCAGGAGCAAACTCACGTTAATTTGGTTGCAGTAGCCCCTGCCCAGCATCACAGATGAGCAGATCTGTGACCGACTGGAGGCAACTCACGTTTCCGTGGGAGACAGGAGACACTGTTTTCACCTCCCCATCCTTCCCACTTGAGCAACAAAGGCTTTTGCTTCCTTAGACTAATTTTGGTAGTAAACTTTTGACTCATGAGGTCTACATCTTCTGTGCCCCCTGTCTGGATGCCTCTTGCATCTGTGGTTAAGCCATTAAAAGGCTATTTGGTTTGAATTACTATTAAGAGATCCTACTTGTCAATGGCCAGATGATGGATCCTTTAAATTGGTCATATTTTAGAAACACATATATTCTGTACAGATAGCTCTCAATTTTCTCAGTATAATGACCTGCTTTGGGGACTCCCTTGAAAAGATAAAAGAATAGAAATTAGACTTAAGACAAAAATAAATGTTCATATCCAACGTAAATTCCCCTTCTTAAAATCCAGTTTCGGGCACCTGGGTGGCTCAGTTGTTAAGTGTCTGCCTTCGGCTCAGGTCATGATCCCAGGGTCCTGGGATCGAGTCCCGCATCGGGCTCCTTGCTCAGCAGGAAGCCTGCTTCTCCCTCCCCCACTCCCCTGCTTGTGTTCCCTCTCTCGCTGTGTCTCTCTCTGTCAAATAAATAAATAAAATCTTAAAAAAAACAAAATCCAGTTTCATCTGCCTTTTTTAACTGTCCCCCCTTTCCTACAGGATTTACAGTGAGCACTCCGGCCAATCTCTAGGTTCAAAGTATACGGGTTGCTCATGTAAACGCTGAAAGCCAGGAAATGAATTTAAAGCCCCCAGGACTGGCAGTGAGTCTCGTTTGCTCCTACCTCCCAGGGCTTTGTAATCCAGCTGTGCCAGCCTCAGGCATTTCTATGCAGGTGTATCACAGACCCTCCACCATAAAAGAATTTGCATCCCCTGGACAGCAGCAAATTTTTTAAGCAATAAAGCCCCTTTACCTCTACTTTCAGAAGATCCTACCAAATATAAAGAGAAATTAGAAAGATTATTTGACTATTCACAATCTCCCCTTCACAGAGGAAACAGATGACCAAAATTTCTCTCAGGCCCTCTTACAAATTATCAGTGGAAGGCCAATGTTCAGGGGCTAATAGAAGCCAAGTTTGAATTGTGTAACCAGAAAGAAGGCTTTTGTTAAAATGTTTTATACAGATGAAGGGGTTTGGGACAGGACCCCTCAGTATGTGTCACTTTGGCATGTGGATTATTTTGAGCCAAAGGCACTTGAGACCCTGTGGGATCATATATCTCTCCTTAACCACACAGAAAAATTGGGGCACCTGGGTGGCTCAGTCGGTTAAGCGTCTGTCTTCAGCTCAGATCATGATCTCAGGGTCCTGGCTCATCAGGGAGCCTGCTTCTCCATCTGCCCCTCCCCCTGCTCATGCTCTCTTTCTCTGTCTCTCTCTCTCAAATAAATAAATAAATAAATAATAAAAACACACACAGAAAAATCAAAATTGGGAGGGTGTTTCACAGAATAAGGATTATTAACAGAGATAAATTTTATCCAAGTGACCATCTGTATGCAGGGCAAACTTCTAATTACCAAGCATCTGCTCTTCTTATCGCCCTGTGAAGTGCATTCCTTTCCTCTGAAATCCCAGATCCTTACCCCTTTTCTCCTTACTTCAGAATGACATACATACCTCATTTTGCCTGTCTTTGGAATTTCCATGTCCATGTGGATTCCCCGTACCTATGCCTATTAAATTTTATTTTCTTCCAGGGCGCCTGGGTGGCTCGGTTGGTTAAGCAACTGCCTTGGGCTCAGGTCATGATCCTGGAGTCCCAGGATTGAGTCCCGCATCAGGCTTCCCGCTCAGCAGGGAGTCTGCTTCTTCCTCTGACCCTCCCCTCTCTCATGCTCTCTCTCTCATTCTCTCTCTCAAATAAATAAATAAATAAATAAATAAAATCTTTTAAAAAATTATTTTCTTCTGTTAATCTGATTTTTAGCCCAGCTAGAATAAATTTTGAGGCAACAGGAATTCTTGCTCCCCAACACAGACTTTACATAGGTATAAATCTTTTGATTCCCATCTTAGTTAAAAATCTCCCTGATAGAGGTGCCTGAGTGGCACAGTTGGTTAAGCAGCTGACTCTTGGTTTCAGCTCTGCTCAGGTCATGATCTCCGGGTCATGAGGTGAGCCCAGTGTTAGGCTCCACGTTCAGCGGGGAGTCTGCTTGGGATTCTTTCTCCTTCTTCTGCCCCTCCCACTTGTGATCTCTTTCTCTCTCACTCCCTCAAAATAATAAATAAATCTTAAAAAAAAAAAATCTCCCTCATATAAAGAAGCAAACTTAGCTTAAAAGGCAGGCCAGTCCCTTGATATTCAGGCTGTCATCCAGTTCTTTGGAGAATTAGGAACATCTGTCTTTGTCTTACAAGTCTCTACAAAACCAGAAATACAACTCTAGAAACAAGTCAAAGCCTATGTATGTTTACCGATCCCCAAACCTCACCTATTCCTCTCACAATGTTTGTAGATATTATAAAAGACCAGGATAATGGAACAAAATTCTCCTGTACTTAAGAAAAGGAAGGTAAATTTTAAATAGCAATTACCCTGAAACTCTAGGAAAGAAAAATGTTTTTGCATTCTTTCTTTGTCCCTCGAAATTACAGATCTTATCATGTCTTTGAAATATAAATAAAGCCCACAACCCCCTGAGCCTGAAGGAAAAAAAAGAGGAGGCTAGGGAAGACCTTTATAAAATACAAACTGCTAAAAGGGCTTTTTCTGCCAAAGCTCTAGCACCTCTGATAAGAGGCCAGTATGTCCTAAAAAGTCCACCTTGGAGAAAACTTGTATATATTCTCTATGCTTTTATAATGTATATTTTCTACCCTCATCTTCTCTAGGACCTAAGAGCCACTCTTTGAAATACAAACTTTAGGGAAAGTTTTTCATCTGGGGGAAAAAAAAAGGAGGGAGATATTTGGAAATTGGGCCTATAATGTCCTCTCTACAAATATTAGTAAGAAACAAAAGCTATAAGACTTTTGTTTGCATGTGTCTATTTGTGTGTCTATATATATTGTAAACATGAGATATTTTCTCTACCTCCGGTATTGCTAAAATTAATGGTTTTTTTGTTTTTTTAAAGATTTTATTTATTTATTTGACAGAGAGAGAGACAGCGAGAGAGGGAACACAAGCAGGGAGAGTGGGAGAAGCAGGCTTCCCGCTGAGTAGGGAACCTGAAGCGGGGCTCGATCCCAGGACCCTGAGAGATCATGCCCTGAGCTGAAGGCAGATGCTTAATCAACTGAGCCACCCAGGCGCCCCTAAGTTCATTTTTAATAACTGAACATGGGTTTGCTCCTCGGTGAATCAGATGAAAACTATACCAGGTGCAATTGTGCCACAAAGGAAATTTTATTTGCAGCAAATAAGATCATGGGGAATGACTTCCAAAGCCGTGACTCCCTATGCAAGGGTGGATAAGTTCCTTTTACTTGGGGTTAGGATGAATATTTAGATAGGGGAGACTTATCATCTGTAGAAGGGGGCATAAGGTCACGCATGCTCCTTAAGAAAACGTGCCTCTAGGGGCGCCTGGGTGGCTCAGTTGGTTAAGCGTCTGCCTTCAGCTCAGGTCATGATCCTGGAGTCCCAGGATCGAGTCCACATCGGGCTCCCTGCTCAGCAGGGAGTCTGCTTCTCCCTCTGACCCTCTCCCTTCTCATGCTCTCTCTCTCTCACATAAATAAATAGTTGTCGGTCATTCTAGATGTCACTCCATGGTCCATCTGTGCAGGCGCGAGTTAGGGACTAAGTTCAAACAGGTCTGGGTAGTCTGGGCCAGCTGGGGATCTTTGTCTAGGCAGTTTTTTTTGTTTGAGGGGTAGTTCTGGTTTCCATCATGGGATGCTATGCCTCTCAGATCTTTTGCCTGAGTTAAGAGACACACTGGAAAGGAGAGCTTAAGGAAATATGTGGAACAGGTTGCTGAGCACAAGTAGGTGGGCAGTAAAGGTCAGGTCTTGGGGTCCAGCTGGTGACATTATTTCTGTTGCAAAGTTTGTCCAAACAAAACAAAACAAAACCTAAGGATTATGGTTGACTCTGTCTAATGCCTCATGATGTGTTGTGAGTGGACTAACCATAATTGTTAAGAACAAGTAGTTAAATAGACGAAAATAAGGTAAAAAAAAGTTTGTAGGCAGCCTTTTAAATAGCTTCTAAAATCTTTGGTAACTTGAAACTTTTTTATTTAAAGATCTATTTATTTATTTGAGAGAGAGAGAGAGAGAAAACATGAACAGGAGGGGCAGAGTGAGAGGAAAGAGAACCTCAAGCAGACTCTGCATTGAGCTTGGAGCCCGATGTCAGGCTCAATCCCATGACCCTGAGATCATGACCCAAGCCAAAATCAAGAGTTGGACACTTAACTGACTGGACCACCCAGGTGCCCTGGTAACTTGAAACTTTAACATCTTGCTAAGTTAAATGATGAGTTAAGTTAAATTCATTGAACGTCTAGATCATTTCCAAATAAGATGTATTAGTACTTAATGTTTTGTTATTTTATCTACTTTTGTCTTATTACTGGGAAACTAAAGACAAATTTGGGTGTGTTAGTAAACATGTTTTGTGCTTTATTGAAAGATGGTACTATGAAAAGTACATTTCTAGAAATTATAAAATGTATTTACAAATTTGCCAATCTAAAGAACTCTCCTGTAACAGTTCACAATTGCTTACTACTTAGTTTTCACTAGAAATTAAGATTTCCAGGAGTTCAGAATTCTAATAAATGTAATTAAGACTACTGGAAATAATAAGGGAAACAACTCTGCATGCAAGGAAAGTAAGATATGTGTGTTTGGTAAGAAAAGGTTTAAGAAATAGAAATACATTTTTGTTGAGAAAAAAGAAAATTCGTCCTAAAGTGAGCCTGGTTATTCAAAGAGGGAAAACTTCGGACAAAATCTGAATGTAAAAAAGAGAGTTGTAGGTTTATGGAAAAGAAATCAGAAAGAATGTGTGGTCAGTACTGGCTAAGATTAGGATAAATTTAAGTAAATGAGGTTTTTTTTAAGATTTTTATTTATTTATTTGTTGGAGAGAGAGAGAGAGCGAGCACAAGCAGGGGGAGAGGCAGAGGGAGAGGGAGAAGCAGGCTCCCCGCTGAGCAAGGAGCTGAGCCCGATGTGGGACTCCATCCCAGGACCCTGGGATCGTGACCTGAGCTGAAGGCAGATGCTTAACCAACTGAGCCACATAGGCATCCCAGTTTTAATATCAAAAGTACACTGGTGAAAAATTAAAATTTTGTTTTCTCTTTGGTAAAAGGACCAAGTTTTCTTTAACTATTGATTTGCTCTTAATAAGGAATTATAAACAAAAGTTTTTCTTTACCTCTTTAAAGTTATCTGCCCAGAAAACAAGGACTCTGTTTTGCCAGAATAATTTTTTTTTAATGTTTTTAAGATTTTATTTATTTATTTGACAGAGAGAGACACAGAGAGAGAGGGGACACAAGCAGGGGGAGTGGGAGAGGGAAAAGCAGGCCTCCACGCGGAGCAGGGAGCCCGATGCGGGGCTTGATCCCAGGACCCCGGGATCATGACCTGAGCCGAAGGCAGACGCTCAACGACTGAGCCACCCAGGCACCCCTGCCAGAATAATTTCTTATGTTTATCAGGTCTTTGATTACTCAAGAAAACTGAGTCTTAATATTAAGAGAGCTAAATTTTGCTCATAGCTATCTGTATTTGCCTTTGAAATCTTTTATTGCCATTTTGGTTAAATGGATAATTAACTACTGTTTCGTAATGATTTGTGGTTCTATTTAATCAAATGTTCAAACCTTTTGGTATTTTTTGACATACTTCCCAAAGCCAAATTCTAAAATGAAGTCTTTTGACTATAATCTAATTGAAATTTTCCAGAGGGTCCCCTGAATATTTCAAAGATTTGGTGAGAAATTAAACTAATTATACTTATTTGGTACATTAAATTACATAGGAAGCATGGCCAAATAAGTGATACTAAATCCTCTTAAATTATATTTGTGTAGATATGTTACTAAAATAAGTGTTCTAGAGATTGTATGAAAAGTGTTGTGTGTCACAGAAATAACCAAATTTCCTTATTAATTGCATTATAATGAACTCCAATAAGATCTTTACTCGTGGCCATTTTTAAGTTTTTTATCATTTACAGACAGTTATAATGAAAGATAGTTGAAAGAAAAGCAGGCAGGGACAAGGGGCCCTTGCCCTAAGAGGAAACCACCCTTAAAAGGATTTTACACCACCCTGGAAGGAGCCCTCCACCCTTTCCCATGTGATAGGTAGGTGGCAAAAACCTGATTGGGTGACAGGGACATGAGAGTTAATCAGATTAAAACAGCCCGCCAACAAGCCCATAAAAACCTCTAGACTTAGGAACTCTGGCAGCAACCCTCTCCGGTCCCCTCCCTCTTCCTGAGTTTTGTACTATTGCTCAATAAAGTTTACTACCACTCAGTCAAATTTGCTTTGCCACCCACCACTCTTCGTCTGGTCTGCCTCTTCATTCTTCGAAGCCATGTGACCAAGAACTGTGGGCACTGAAGGAAAAGAAATCCTTTAACAGTTTGCTTTTACAAAAACTTCCTGCAACTTTCATTTTTAGTGAGACTCATGGAAAGAACTCTGAGTACAGGCTTATGATAACCTTAAGATCATAATACTGAACTAGGTAAGAGTTTTTGGAACTAGTTAAAAAAAAAGTGGATTCATGTAGAACAAGAATTAATATCATGGGACTGAATGGACTGAGGAGGATAATTATAATTTGTATGACCTTTTTTTTTTTTTTTTTCATGAATAGTTGGGCTTATTTCAACAGTGGGTTTGAAACCCTCTCCTTAGGCAAGAGACTACAGTAATTATACGAGGAATAGACAATTTCCTACACTGTCAAATTTTCCAGAGGGTCCCCTTGCCCAAGTTCCTCTTGCACTTTTCTCAACACTGATCAACAAGCAGATTCAGTCCACATTTGCTTTGATCATTCTACTGAGTTAACCCAAGCTTCTTCTTCAGAAACTCTGGCATTTCAGGTGGAGGAGGGTGAGGGAGCCTGAAGTAGACCTTCACAGAGTCATAGATGAACCACTGTAGTGCAGTCAGAGTGCCAATCATGATGATACGGGCAAAGAGTCCCTTCCATACACCTTTAAATCCAAGTCTCTGAAGAACTTGAGAAGCACTGCTACCTTTCTCCTTATTCAACACAGATACCACGGAATCAGCAGGGTGAGAAACAATTGCACAGAAGACTCCAGCTATGTAACCTGCCACGAATGTTACAACCAGTTGCTCTGCCTTTGAACATTCACTTCAGGGCTTAGGAACCACAAACTTGTACAACGCTTCAACAGTACGTTCAAAGCAGGCAAATTTCATCATGGTGTATGGTATCTCTCTCATCCAGAGAGGGGCAACTCCCTTGTAGAATGCTTTTAAGCCTTCTTCCTTATACATTTTGGGAGCTGCATCCCTCAAAGTGTTGGCATAACCTGGTTGGGTTTGAATTTGAACCCTAGCAGCCTCCATAGGAGCCAGGGCAATGTCAGCAAAGAATTCAGCACTGGCAGAAGCAGCCAAATATAGTGATGTGCACCAGAGATAGGCATTCTCCTCCCCAAGCATGTTGCTATACAAGACTTTGAAGACTTCATAAAAGCCAAACTTGCAGAGCCCCTGCATAGAGTAGCCAATGAAAGTCGGAGCCCATCCTTTAGCCAGACCATGAACACCATCCTCTTTAAGTGTAACTGAGAATCCATTAAATATGCCCTTGTACTTCTGGGGGTCCACCTGCATACAGCATTTCACTAAATCCAGAGGAATGACAGCAGTGTGTGTAAGACCACAACTTAAGCTGACTTTTGATAATGTTTTGTTTTTCCAGAATTGAGGAAATGTTTTATCTTAAGCTAACTGACTTAAAGCAGCAATTTGATAAAATATACCTTTGTGAACAAATTGAAACATTTATCTTTTTCTCCCTACCTGGTCTCTCAAGAATTCAGAAACTTTCAGTATTCTTAAATTCTCATGGTAATATATTTATTTGCATAGGTTCAATAAGAATCTGTTTTCTTTGTAACAGGACACAATTGGAAACATTGGTCATAATACCAAGGCTTTGATTGGAATGTTATATTTGAGAGACATGCATAGACTTAGATATGACCAAAATTGTTTTAAGGAACTATGGTTGACTTTATAGAACCAATAAAGCCCCTTGGAAATATCAGTTTGTTACCCTGCTTACAGAGTTTCTAGGAACCCAAGCAGGTGAGTAAAGATCACTTCCTGGCAGGTGCAGGGTATTTTGGAGACCTCAAGAGGAGAGAAATGAATCCAGATCTATAGGTATTGCAGGTGAAGTCTATGGCAAGTATTTGGCTTGGCTTCTGGCCTTGAGAGGCTGTTAAAAGTTCAGTCTGGAGATTTCTTATGAAAAGCTCCAGGAAAGCAGGTTTTAAAGAGCCTATATGGTCAACTGTTATTCTTGCTGTATTCATGTAAATAATCATGCCCAATTTTTTTGAAACTAGACTTATTTTGCAAACAGATTAGTGGTAACATGGCTATCTTTGGTAGAATGAGGGTGAGTATTTAGAGAAAAAATATACCTGTGTAGATTATTAGATTCTAATACTGTCATTTTAAATGGTACTAGAAACTGATTTCTTCTAGTTTCCTTCAATGCCTGGCTATAACTCTCCAAACTAACATTTTAAATTTTTCTCCCACCTTTCTGACTTGGAATCATGTGAGAACTAAAATTGCCCTGGATTTATTTAGGAAAAATCCTAAAGCCCTGCAAACTAAATATGAGTGACTTGACATAAATGTCAGATAAATAACTAATGTTTATTTATTTGTTTTTTAAAGATTTTATTTATTTGACAGAGAGAGACACAGCGAGAGAGGGAACACAAGCAGGGGGAGTGGGAGACGGAGAAGCAGGCTTCCCGTGGAGCAGGGAACCTGATGTAGGGACTCGATCCCAGGACCCTGGGATCATGACCTGAGCCGAAGGGAGATGCTTAACGACTGAGCCACCCAGGGGCCCCAACAATAACTAATACTTAAAGACAATCTTTTTGCCTGTTACCCTGTGGGTCACTCAAAAAAATTACCAGAGACATTTGAACTGCAAATCCGGAAAATCTGTCAGATTACCACTGGCTATTCTCACTCCATCTGAAGATGCTTCTAGCCTGACATCTAAAAATCTTAACTGGCTGGCCTAAGAACTCAGAAACTGGTTTGTAATTTGATCCAGTCATTAACCACTGTTTTTGTTTCCATAGAAATGCCTCCTATTTAATACCTGATTACTTGAACTATTGGCCTAACTTTGAGAACACACCTGCATCACTGCCTCCTGAAATGAGTTTAACTGAGTTGACCTACTCTCAGGACTAAGAGACTGGTTCAACAAGAGGGAACAACTTATCAACTCAACTTTTCATGTGGACAGTTCCAAAGGAGGGAACTGTAGGGGCCAAGGGCAGGCAGCTCCAAGGTGGGCCACTTTGCCATGAAGATTATCTTGAGTTAAAAGCAATCAAAACCCAGCAGATCCAGGAACAGCTCTTTACCTCCTCCTGAACTGCCTAAATTTACATTGGAAAGGAGAGCCTGTACTAGGAAGAGAGTTATTAACAGATATTTCTTTTTACCTCACAAACTTATTTGCATAACAGAGCAACCTTTGTTTACTAAACATCTCTCACCTTTCTGCTAATGGTCTTCCCCCGCCTTTGTATCCCTACATCCCTACCCCTCTCCTTAGCTCAGGATGTCATATAAACCTCATGTTGCCTGTCTTTGAAATTTCATGTCCATGTGGATTCATTGCAGGTAGGACACTAAATTTGATTTTCTCCAGTTAATTGATCTCATGTAAATGTAATCCTTATTTCAGCTAGAAGAGTCTGGAATAGAGGAAACTTTCTTCCTCCTCAACAATTCTATGAAACATAATTTTAAGCAGCAAATACCAAATTTCGAATCTGAATAGTAAACATAATCTTCAAAAAATGAATGTAAAATCTACCACCAAAGGCATGCAACAATTTAGTTATTTTCTATTTACTTTCAAATCTATTTTTTTTAAATAATGGAAAGGAATACAGAACATAAATAAATGTAAAACCCTAAGTTATTTGACTTTTTAGTTTTCTAATGTAATGGTCTCCAAAGTCTGCTTGTGTCCTTCAGGACTACACAAAACCACCCACAGGGATATCAGGAGAAACTATAACATGTCTATTTCTATTTTTACTTCATGCTTTAAAATGTCTGTGTACTACATAATATACATTATATGTTACCATTGCAATACACTTATATAATTTAGAAATAAATATTATGGAAAAAATGTTTGGAGAGTATTTTAAAGTTGGTTCACTCTGATTCAGTGCATTTTGATCATATTGTGAGAATGCTGTGGGACATTCTTTTTTTTTTTTTTAAAGATTTTATTTATTTATTTGAGAGAGAAAGAATGAGGCACAGAGAGAGCATGAGAGGGGGAGGGTTAGAGGGAGAAGCAGACTCCCCGCTGAGCAGGAAGCCCGATGCGGGACTCGATCCCGGGACTCCAGGATCATGACCTGAGCTGAAGGCAGTTGCTTAACCAACTGAGCCACCCAGGCACCCTGTGGGACATTCTTTTTTAAAAGGAATAAACTGAAATGCAGAGCTAGATATAAAATGTTAAATTATTGCATTTGGACTGGAAAACTTTACCATAATCATCATATATACTAAAAATCACCAGTGATACCTGGCTGGCTCAGTCGGTGGAGCATGGGACTCTTGATCTTGGTGTCATGAGTTCAAGCCCCACATTGGGTGTGGAGCCTACTTAAAAAAAAAAAATCACCATAGAGTTCTATAAAAATATTAAATTAATGTGTTACTTAATTTTTGCAAATTGTGAAGATAATTATAGAGCATTTTTAAATGACATGAAAATAAAATGAAGGAAAAATTCTCCAAGACATCCAATGTTATTTTATGTATTTAAAAAAATTTTTTTTTTTTTTAGAGAGAGTAAGTGCTGGGGAATAGGGGTAGAGGGAGAGGAAGAGAGAGAATCTTAAGCAGGCTCCACGCCCAGGGTGGGGCCTGACTCTGGGGCTTGATTCACGACCCTCAACCCTGAGATCATGACCTCAGCTGAAATCAAGAGTGGGATGCTTGTGGTGCCTGTGTGGCTCAGTCGGTTAAGCGTCTGCCTTCGGCTCGGGTCATGATCCCGGAGTTCTGGGATCAAGCCCCGTGTCGGGCTCCCTGCTCAGCAGAGAGCCTGCTTTTCCCTCTGCCCCTCACCTGCTCATGCTCTCTCTCTCTCTCTCAAAAAAAGAGTGGGATGCTTAACTACTGAGCCACCTAGGCACCTCTCTTTTAATCTTTTTTTAATCCACTCTTTTTACATAGATGAAATCATGAAAAACGCAGGAGATTTATCTATTCTTATGATTAAGTTCATAAATTATAAAAATATTTGAATATATGATTCATAAATATAAATTTTGAAGACTGCAAAGCAACATATTTTGACATATATGCCCTCATAAACATTGAAATGAAGAAACTGATGTATAGGAAAAATTGTGCTGATGACATTTCTAGTAAATCCATCCTAGATAGTTTTATGTGAAAAGCTTTTAACATGCTAGTCAGATAGACATGATATTCTATACTAGCATGGCATTAATTAGATGTGTGTGCTTTTGTTGTGTGAAGGTCTTACTTTTCATCTATATTTCTGTTTCTATGATATATATATTTGTATATGGTATATATATATAGACATAGACACACACACACAAACACACACACGCACACACGCAGAGGAGACTCTTTAAGATCTATTAACCCAGAGGCATCTACCAAAGGAACCTCTTTCCAGGAGGTCTGAATACACAATGAATGTAACCATGGAGTCACTGCAACTATATTTCTTCTACCAGTACCCTCAAGCTTTTGGCTAGAATTTCTATTAAAAAAAATAAAACACCACATTAGTTTTGTGAAAAACAGAAAGAATACATCAAAAGACAGGTTTGGCTGCAAGTCGAGGAAAGGCTGGAGTTACAAAGGAAGTAAAGCCAGTGAAAGTCAGTGAAAGAAAATAAAAGCAGATATCCCAAACAAAGAGGTGCTACCAAGAGCAGTCACTGAAAAAACATGTCAAACAAAATAATCAGCTTAAACTATAAAAAAATAAAAGAGATTAAAAGCATTCTTTGAAACATGAAACAACTATTTCCACCACTCTAATCCTTCTTTAAGCCATGTATTTCTTTCTTTGGTCATCTGCCCTAAATTACTGAAAACAAATACTTGACAAGAGACTGCTGAAGTGGATTAATCTTTCGGCTTCCAGCAAAATGAGATGAGAATAACAAGCATTTAATGGATAAATATTTGAATAGGTATGGGATTCAGTTAATATCTCAGTCCACTGATTTTTAATATGCATGATGATAGAGTCCTACACCAAAATATTAGGTTCTTTGGTGAAGCATACCTTTAAAAAAGTGTTTTCAATCCACTAGGACCAAATTTTGCTGATCAGAGACAGGACTAAAATTTTTATCCTTTACAATCTCCAACACTTTTAATGTTTAGATATTCTAGTAATATCCAAAAGCAAACCATAAGAGACTCTTAACAATAGGGAACAAACTGAGGGTTGCTGGAGGGTTGTTGGAGGGGAGGTCGGTGGGGGAATGGTGTAAGTGAGTGATGGGCATTAAAGAGGGCACTTGTGATGAGCACTGGGTTGCTCTATGCAAGTGATGAATCACTAAATTCTACCCCTGGCCAATACTACATTATATGTTAACTAACTACAATTTAAATAAAATCTTAAAAGAAAAATATCCAAAAGTTTTCAATGTATAATGTTCAATGAATGTGAAATACTAAAGGAAAATCTTTAAAAGTCATGATTCTCACTAGACTGTGGATGTATTTAACAAAAGGGGTATAGGTAAAAGGAAGTCTTCACTTGCCAAGGTTCTTTTGTTAATGGCAATAGGAATGTCTTCTAAAACTATTTTATTTAATTAATTTATTATTTATTTTTTTAAAAAACTATTTTAATAATAGACTTAGGATGATAAGACCATTGCAGTAATACCCGGCATCTTTAGCTATGTATCTGTTTAAAATTGCTGGGAAAAAATGTATTAACATGATGTAATATAGACTTGGAGCAGTATTTCTCAAATTTAAAGCACTTATCTAATCAATTCAATACAAAAAGTTTATTACACAGGTAATATACCTGTGCACAGCTCCCATTAAGAACATTATTCATTCTTTAGTGTGGCAATAAAATATTTATAATTTTCTTGTTTCCTTTATTTTCATTATATGCCTTTCTTCACTTTTTTCTTTTTTCATAAAAATGCCGTGAGACACAGTGCAACAATGATAAGGGAATCTAACATAGGGTTCCTCGGGCTGTCACTTTCTAGAATTTCAGTTACAGTTGCCTATGTGTTTTATAGACAAGCTGTCTCTCGATGTATCATGTACTTCGTAACTGCCGATTTTAAATACCAGCTCTAAATTAAACTGCCTTGACAAATTCATTTTACTCTCTAAACCAGTTTTTCTTCAAGTGAGGTATTGAGTTATTTTAGAATCTTTCATTATTCAAATAAATTTTCTTTCAGTGACCAAAAGACAGGAATCTATCTAGAATAAGGGATGTGAGGAAATAGAAAAGTTAAAAACTACAATGAGGGGCAGCTGGATTATCTGTCATTAAACAAAAATTACATAGGCCTTAGGTAAGATGCTTGCCTTGTTTACCTCTGACAGACCCTCCAAATTCCCATTCTTTGTCTCATAAGTGACTAGCTAAACTAGTGTTGTCCTTACTGATCAACAGGAACAAAATGATATTAACTAAACTTTCATTAAACTTCTTTCCTTCCCTCAGGTCCCTGAACTTTGACCCATCCTGTGCCTGAGTCAGCATACTGCCCTTCCCTGGAAAGAGATTGGACTTGGGGTAAAACATTCTCTCATCTACTGTTCTGTCACCACCCTTTTATCTCCTGTCCCCACACCTGGTTCTTTCTACCTTTGTTCACTTCTCTCTATAAGAGAAAAAGCCTTTTTGCCCAACTTTTTGAGATGATTGCAAGCCTTATGGTCACAGGGTTCTTACTACAGTGGTCCCACCCTCCACTGGATAATTCTTTCAGATTTGTTTCTCATTTGACACACTCTATCTTTGAATATGACATTTCTTGAACTGATTTCCCATTACTTCACCCTAGACAGATATTTTCTGAGTATCTCACACCTGCCATCTCCTTTCTTCACATTGCCACTGCTCTTGTTCAAGCTCTTATTAACCTCATCCTTGCCCATTATGAACTGATCTCCTCAGCCTCCAATTTTACTTACTTTTTCACCATTGCCGGTAAGTTCATCTTCCTAAAGAGTATTCCTCCAATCTCCGCATTCTTTCGCATTCTTTTTGTTGTTTTTTTGCTCTCTGTTGCCTAAGAATAAAGTCCAAATTCCTGAGTGTAGCATTTATGTCTTTCCACAATGAGGTCTAATCTTATCTCTTCCTCCCAGGAACCCTTCTAAACCTTCTAACCCTTTCTAAAACCTGCCTTCTTTCTCCAGTCTCGTTGTGTTTGCCCATTTACTTTTTCTGTACCTCAGATGTTTTCCTTCCCAAATCCCCCCTCCCTGAATTTCTATTCAATGCTATTCCTTCCCTGTCTGGGAATTAATCTCTTCCATTATTATTATTCCCCTATTATTATTCCCCTAACACTGTGTCTGTACCTTTGTTAAAGCCTTAAAAATAGTTTTTTATTGGGGCGCCTGGGTGGCTCAGTTGGTTAAGCGACTGCTTTCGGCTCGGGTCATGATCCTGGAGTCCCTGGATCGAGCCCTGCATCAGGCTCCCTGCTCTGCGGGAAGCCTGCTTCTCCCTCTCCCACTCCCCCTGCTTGTGTTCCCTCTCTCGCTGTCTCTCTCTCTCTATTGAAAAATAAATAAAATCTTTAAAAAAAAATAGTTTTTTATTACAGCAAGTTGTATACATTTTTAAATCTGTCCTTCTAGATTATAAATTCTTTGAGGTCAAGACAGTGTCTTATTCCTTTGTGTATCTTCTCTGGCCCTTAGTCTAATGCCTCACACTTGGAAAGCACTCAATATTTGTTCTTTCCTTTCCTTTCCTTTTCTTTTTAAAAATTTTTATTTATTTATTTGAGAGAGAGAGAGAGAAGGAAGGAAACAGAGAATCTGAAGCAGACTCCATGCTGAGCGTAGAGCCTGATGCAGGCTCAATCTTACAACCACAGGATCATGACCTGAGCCAAAACCAAGAGTCAGACACTTAACTTACTGAGCCACCCAGGTGCCCCGATATTTGTTCTTTTAATTAAAATGAATGGAAAATTATTCTATTTCCTTTGTGGCTCCATGTGACATTTTCTGTAACATATGTTTATTATATCTAATGATCAACTAAATATAATGTGAGAAGTTGAGGATTAGAAGTCAGTTGAATGTTGTTTACCATAAGGCAGAATATAGAGAATAACAAAGACTGGCTGACAGTTTTAAGAGTTCTTAGGAGGTAAGATAGCATACGTGTTCAGAGTGTGGGTTCTGGTTTCCGACATCTGGTAGGCTCTACTACTTACTAGCTCTGTGACCTTGAGCATATTCCATGTTTCTGTGCCCCAATTTTTCATGTATAGTATGAAGATAGAAAGATCTACTTTACAGGGCTGTTGAGAAGATTAAATTAGTTACTATCTGTAAAACACATCACACTTGATCTTAGCCAAAAGGCACATCAAATAGTACATGTTGTGTAAAAAGATCCAATTACTGTTACCTTTATTATCAAAATTGGCTCTCCAAAAAGGAAAAGCTTCACTTCCTTGATGCCTCTCAGTGATCATTTAAGTCAAGTAATTCCAAAGAATGTATTACCAAGTAGCTAGTGGACACACTGGTTTGACCAAAACTTGTAACCTCTCTAAGGATCATCAGCTCTCAAAGATTTGTATAAGGAACAGACAAGGAAGTGATCTCTTATAACCCACAGATGTGCTGAGAATGAGCCAAAGCCAAGTTATCAAGTTTATATACATTTTAACAATCTCTTTAAATTTCAATACCTTTCTAGGGGAGTTCTGTAGGAATGCATTCCCAAACCTCATTCACTTATGTTTATTCATGCAGTTATTCAGTAAACACTTAGGTGCTAGGGATATAGAAATCAAGGGTATTGTTCCTGTCTGCAACTAAGTCATGGTCTTGAAGGACTCAGTCAGGTGAGAAATGGAAGGAAGTGAGTTCAAGACAGAAAGGAATAATATGGAGTAACACACAGAGGTATGCAGGAGCTCGGAATATTCAGGGAGCTTCCTTTAAGAATAAGTGAGTGTGGAGTGAGGGTATCTGGGCAGTGGTAGGAGAGGCAGGCAGGGGCAGGATGATGAAGACCCCCTGAATAACACCTGGTTTCCCTCACTCTGCCCATCAAAGGCCCCTCAGCTTGCAAACATCACTGTGGGAGGGAAAAGAAAACAAAAAGCCAGGTAGGATGAGGACCAGACTCTGTGAAACGAAAGTTCTGAGGAAATTAGACCTCAATCACCTGTTTTTCCTCGTCTATCCTATCCTGGACAACCTAAATTTAGTTCATCGTGAATGCCAAAGTAAAATTTGAATTTTATCCTAAAGGCAATGGGGCAAAACCAGAGGATTTTAAGCAGGGCAGAACTGTGATCAAACAGTTGTGAAAGTAGTGTGGACAACAGATTCAAGGGGGTGGCGAATGCTGGGAGAGGTGTGACAAAGACAATGTGTTCTGTCTGAACACGCTGACTTGGAGAACATGACGGATAGTCGAATGATGATGTTAAGATGATAGTAAGAGATCAGATTTAGTTCTTTAAATAAAAGTTCCAAGGTATATTTTGTCCTCAGCACACCCTCAGTCCAATTTTCTATAACTAATACAATTATATGTTTGTGGTTGTTAATTTACTTTATAGTTTAAAATTTTCTTACCTATATAATGTCATTTTAGCCTTTCCATAATCCTATAAGGCGGACAGGACTGCTATCCCTACCATTTTGCAAGGAGGATTTACGCCTCTGAGATTATGAGTGATTTATTTGTCTAAGGCCACAGAGGAAGTCAGGGGCAGATCTAAGCCCTAAACTTAGCTCCAGGTCGTGTGTTCTCTATAGCAGTGAACTGCACATCCTCATAGTAACCCATCAACTCTTACTTAGCGCCCACTCTGCTCTTCGCAGTACATTAGCAGAGATTAAAAAAAAAAAAAGAATTAGAAGCTCAGCATAGGGACAACAGCACTGTTTGTGGGCAAAGTTAAAGATCAGCAACCAGATCTGGCTTCTGGTTCTAATTCTGCCTCAACCACCTGTGTGATTGTATTTTATCTGAAAATAACAGAAACCCACCTCAAACACACTTAAATAGAAAGGGGAATTTATTGGTTCATGAAATCCACGGAAGGATTGAACAGTCCAGGATCACAAAGGTAAGACTGCAGAGGTAGCCCTTAGAAACAACTGAAAAGAGCTGGCTTGAACCTTGTTAGGAGTCTTCAAAATCTTTTGTTTCTGTTGCTATCTGTGTGGCAGTTTCACTCTCTCTCTGCTGCTAACTAGCTTCTGTTAAAGGAAGAAATATGGTTATTATGTTTCTGATTTTAGAAGTTAAAGCTGCAGCCATTGAAGAGAGAGGACTCCAATCCTTTCCTGGACTCAAGTAAAAAAGTCTCCGGGAACCTACTACTCCCTTGGCCCAGCTGAAGGTGGTGAACCCGTGGTCACCAGAGGAATCAATTCCACTGAGTTCTAGCAAGATTTAACTCAGGCATTCATTTTCTTGGGTACTTTCTGAAAGACATGGACCTTGATTACCGGCATTATATAGCTAGGTGGAAGGAAAGAAAACCAGCATTTCAGGTAAGGGAAGGAAGTTTTGAGTTAGTAACTTAGGTGGTCTATGAATAAAAGATAAGCCTGACTGGAGTGGAGGCTGCATCCTTGTTCCCACTGAAAATCACACTGGATTGCTAAAGGAGTAACGGAGTATTGTGGATCTAAAAGGTAAACAGAATTTGTTAGAGCTGAAGCAGCCCTTATAGGTTTCTTGTATAGATTCAGTGACCCTGAAACTGCACTTTATAACATAAACAAATCCTCAACCATTTCCCAGAATGCTCCTTCCTTGTCAACTGAACTTGGCTTAGAGTTGTGGCAATAGGAAAAAAGAGGAATTGGTGACAGAATCAGAGGAGGAAAATTCAAGACAATCCCCAGTCATCCAATCTGGGAGCCTACAAGAGATAAGAGCTCTTGATGGCACTCTCAGTGGCTATTTGAATGTGTGCATATCGAAAGCAGGAGATGTGTCTGACGTTGGTGCTTAATAAGCTGGTGCTTAATTTACGAGATTAATAAACTGCATGACTCTCATAAAATGAGGACATTAATAAAATGACTTCTAAACCCTTTCCAGCAATATAATTCTGTGAGTCCATTTCCAATCTTAATCTTAAAAATCTTCAAAGTCCTTGAATACCCGCATACAAAAAATATTTTTTTTAAAGGTTAAGATGGCAAATTTTATATTCTGTATTTTTTTTAAAGATTTTATTTATTTATTTGACAGAGAGAGACACAGTGAGAGAGGGGACACAAGCAGGGGGAGTGGGAGAGGGAGAAGCAGGCCTCCCGCTGAGCAGGGAGCCCGATGTGGGGCTCAATCCCAGGACCCTGGGACCATGACCTGAAGCCGAAAGCAGACACTCAACTGACTGAGCCACCCAGGTGCCTCTATATTATGTATTTTTGGCCACAATGAAAAAAATGCCTCCCCAAAAGGGTAGGTTGTTCATTCTACTGTACTTTCAAAAACCTACATTTGAAAATATACCAAGTGTGGCAAGATGACAGCATAGGAAGATCCTGAACTCACCTCCACTCTCCAAGTCACCAAATATACAGCTACATATGGATCATTTCTCTCTGAAAAAGATCTGAAAATTAAATGAACTGCTTCTCCCCCCAAAAAAGGATAAAAAGACAACACCGAGGCAGGTAGGAGAGGTAGAGACAGTCTTACCAAAAAACTCATTCCCAGCTCGGTGACACACAGTAGGGAGGGATCTTACCCACCCGGTGCTTCTCCCAGAGGAGTGAGGGGTTCATATTCTCCATTAGGCACCTCAACCTCTGGATCTGCACCAAGAAGATGAGCCCCCAGAGCATCTGGCTTAGAAAACTAACTGGGAAGGTCCAAGGGACCCAAAGTGTTAGAGGAAACTGACATTATCTTTTTAAACGGCCCACATGCAGTCTCACTTGCCAGAGGACCCAGGGCAAAAACAGCAGTTAGAAGAGTGCCCAGTCTGTATGTGAAGGAGACTCATGTGCTCACGTAAGAGCATCTGCTTGAGGGGCGGGGAACCCCTGAGATCCTCCCCAGAGATGGAGGTGCTGGCAGACGCCACTTTTGCACTTTCCACCTATCCTGCAGCACGGGTGGGCAAGCTCCAGTGTGGCACTCTGCTGCTGCCTTGCTAAGACAGGTGGGAGTGAGCAGTGGTAGCACTATCCTACTGCCTTGCTGAGGCTGGAGCGTGCAGGTGGCTGCAGCACTGCCATGCTCCCTGGCCAGGCCAGGCAAACACGAACGGTTGTGACATTGTCCTGCTCCCAGGCTAAAGCTGGTGCAAGCACACAAAGTACTCTCCCAGTGTATTCCTGAAGCCTGCAGCTGTGTGCAGTCAAGACATTTTCCTGCTGCCTTTCCAATGCCTGTGAGTATGCCCCCACCCTTTATATTCTCTGGCTGCCCACCCAAAGCTATGGGTGCTAGTGGGGACCCCCTGATCACCTGACCCTGGTGGCCAAAGGGGCTGGCATTCCTGAGCTCCACAGGAATGTAACAATTAGAAAGACAGTTCTTGGCCAGCCACCACCCCCAGGGCACTGCATAGACAAAAGACTGGAAGTATCTGGTTGGCTCAGTCAGCTGAGTGACTGACTCTTGGTTTTAGTTCAGTGCATGATCTTGGGGTCATGATCTTGGGTCATAATATGGAGCCCTGCATCAGGTTCTACACTCAGGGCAGTCTGAGATCCTCTCCACCCCCTCTTTGTCCTTCCCCTTGCTTGCACCCTGTCTCTCTCTCTAAAATAAAAATTAATAAATAAACAGCAGACTGAAACACAACCCTAGTCTTGTGAAAAAAGGCCTATTTATTTAGTCTGGAGCTGCAGCCTGAGGGACAGATTTTAGGTTTCCCAAACATCTAGAGGCTAAGTAGGCACACCCAGGGAATGTAAGCAGGGAGACACCATCCTCCACACTCCCTTGGCCTCACTACAGCTCAACAAGACCTCCCAGAAGGAAGCTTATACACTAGTTTGGAGCCCCAAGTTTTGCAACTGTCACCCAGGGGATACCTCCAGATCTCCTGGTCTTGAGGCCAGCAGGGATTATGATTGCAGCCCCACAGGACTATATATATTTGCATATTTTCAAAGCTGCTACCAGGGCACCTGGCTGGTTCTGCTGGTAGAACATGTGACTCTTGATCTTGGGGTTGTGAGTTTGGGCCCTATAGTAGATACAGAGATTACTTAAAAATAAAATCTTCAGGGAAATAAAAAAGCTGCTACCTGAAGGCCTGGCTTCTGATCAGCCCGAAACTAGGTGCAAAATGAGATTCTTCCCCTTGGAACACTGACAAGTCTTGGCATACCCTCAACAACAGGACATATGAAGAATAAACTAGGCAGTTTAGACAATCACAAAGGTTCCAGAGACAACCAAGAATGAGGGCAAAGTTGAACTAGAATATTCATCACCAACCCCAGGCCACTCCTTCAAGACTGAGAGAAGTAGCTGTTTTGCCTAATACATAGAAACAGAGAGTTGAGCAAAATGAAAAAGTATGTTGCAAATGAAAGAACAACACAAAACCTCAGAAAAAGACCTTAATGATACAAAGATAAGTAGCCTATAAGGAATTCAAAGTAATGACCATAAAGATACTCAATGAACTTGGGAGAAGAATGAACATAGTGAGAGCTTCAACAAAGGGAGATAGAAAATATTTACAAAGTACCAAGAGAAGTTGCAGAGCTGAAGAATACAATGACTGAACTAAAAATATACTTCAATAGAGGGGTTCAACAGCAAACTGGATGAAGCAGAATGAATCAGTAAGCTGCAAGACAAGGCAATGGAATCCACCCAGACATACCTGCAAAAAGGGAAAAAAAAAAGGAAGAAACAATGCAGATAACGTAAGAAACTCACGTGAAATAACATTTACATTATAGGGGTCCCAGAAAGAGAAGAGAGAAAGGTGCAGAAAACTTATTTGAAGAAATAATGACTGAAAACTTCTCTTAAAACTTCTTATGAGGGCGCCTGGGTGGCTCAGTTGGTTAAGCGACTGCCTTCGGCCCAGGTCATGATCCCGGAGTCCTGGGATCGAGTCCCACATCAGGCTCCCGGCTCAGCAGGGAGCCTGCTTCTCCCTCTGACCCTATCCCCTCTCATGCTGTTTCTCTCTCTCTGTCAAATAAATAAATAAATCTTTAAAAAAACAAAAAAACAAAAAAACTTCTTACGAAAGGAAACATCCAAGTTCAGGAAGCCCAGAGAGTTCCAAATAAGATGAACCCAAAGAGATCCAACAAAACATAATTAAAATGACAAAAATTAAAGATAGAGACTTTTTTTTTCTAAAGATTTTATTTATTTGACAGAGAAAGACACACAGAGAGAGAACACAAGCAGAGGGAGTGGGAGAGGGAGAAGCAGGCTTCCCGCAGAACAGGGAACCTGATGTGGGGCTCGATCCCAGGACCCTGGGACCATGACCTGAGCCAGAGGCAGATGCCCACAACTGAGCCACCCAGGCGCCCCTGAAGAGAGACTCTTAAAAGCAGCAAGAGAAAAACAAATCGTTACATACATGTGAAACCCCACAGAGCTATCAGTAGATTTCTCAGCAGAAACATTGCAGGCCAGAAGGAAGAAACATGACATATTCAAAGTCAGGAAAAAACTTCCAAACAAGAATACTCTATCCAAGAAGGTTATCATTCAGAAAGGAAGGTGAGATAAAAGAGTTTTCCAGAGAAGCGAAAGCTAAAGGAGTTCATCACTACTAAACCAGGCTTATAAGAAATGTTAAGGAGACTTCTTTAATCTGAAAAGAAGTAGCACTAATTAATACAAGACAACATATAAAAGTAAAAATCTCATTGGAAAAGGCAAATATATACAAAAGTAGTGGATTAACCACGTATAAATCTACTGTGGAGGTTAAAAGCAAAGAGTAAAATTAAACTACATAGTTAAAGGATACATTAAATTAAAAAATGTAAAATGTGACATCAAAACCAAAATGTTACAGGGGAATAAAAATGTAGAGTTTTAGAATGTGTTCATATTTAAGTTGCTATCAACTTAACATAGACTATTATATACATAAGATGATATATATGAACCTCACAGTAAATAGAAAGCAAAAAACTTCTAGAAAATACACAAAAGAGGGGCACCTGGGTGGCTCAGTCGTTAAGCATCTGCCTTCGGCTCAGATCATGGTCCTGGGGTCCTGGGATCGAGCCCCATGTCAAGCTCCCTGTTCGGCGGGAAGCCTGCTTCTCCCTCTCCCACTCCCTCTGCTTGTGTTTCCTCTCTTGCTGTCTCTCTCTCTGTCAAATAAATAAAGAAAAAAAAAAAAAGAAAATACACAAAAGAAAATGAGAAAATAATCTAAATATAACACTGAAGAAAGTTATCAAACCACAAGGGAAGTAAGAAAGAGACAAAGGGGGGCGCCTGGGTGGCTCAGTTGGTTAAGCGACTGCCTTCGGCTCAGGTCATGATCCTGGATTCCCGGGATCGAGTCCCACATCGGGCTCCCTGTTCAGCGGGGGGTCTGCTTCTCCCTCTGACCCTCTTCCCTCTCGTGCTGTCTCTCATTCTCTCTCTCTCAAATAAATAAATATAATCTTAAAAAAAAAAAAAGAAAGAGACAAAGGAACTGAGAGGAACTATAAAAACAGCCAGAAAAAAAATTAACAAATGGCAATAAATACATACCTTTCAATAATTACTTTAAGTGTAAATGGACTAACTTCTCTACTCAAAATGAATGGATGGCTGAATGAATTAAAAAAACATGACACATCTATATATTGCTTAGAAGAGATTCACTTCAGAAGTAAAAATAAACACAGACTAAAAGTGAAGGGATGGAAAAAGATATTCCATGCTAATGTAAACAAAAAGAAACTGGTGTAACTATACTTGTATCAGACAAAATAGACTTTTTTTTTATTTTAATTTTTTTTTTTTTAAGTAGGCTCCACGCCTGACATTGGGCTTGACCTCACGACCCTGAGATCAAGAGTTGCATGTACCACTGACAGCCAGCCAGGCATCCCCAGACAAAATAGACTTTAAAACAAATACTGTAATAAAAGACAAAGATGGGCACTATCTAATGATAAAGGGGTCAATCCAGCAAGAAAATATAACATTTATAAATACATATGTACCCAACATAGGAGCACCAAAATATATAAAGTAAATATTAACAGATCTAAAGGGAGAAACTGACAGCAATATAATAACAGTAGGGGACCTTCACACTCCACTTACAACAATGGATAAATTATTCAGACAGAAAATTAATAAGAAAACATCAACTTTAGGGGCGCTTGGGTGGCTCAGTCATTAAGCGGCTGCCTTCGGCTCAGGTCATGATCCCAGGGTCCTCGGATCGAGCCCCACATCAGGCTCCCTGCTTTGTGGGAAGTCTGCTTCTCCCTCTCCCACTCCCCATGCTTGTGTTCCCTCTCTGGCTGTCTTTCTCTCTGTCAAATAAATAAAATCTTAAAAAAAAAAAGAAAACATCAACTTTAAATGACAAATGAGACCAGATGGACTAACAGACATATACAAAACATTCCATCCATAAGCAGCAGAATACACATTCTTCTCAAGTGCACATGGAATATTCTCCAAAAGAGACCACATGTTAGGCCACAAAACAAATCTCAATAAATTCAAGAAGACAGAAATCATATCAAGTATCTCTCCCAACCACAATGATATGAAACTAGAATTCAATTACAAGAAAAGAGCTAAAAAAAACTACAGCTATGTGGTGATTAAACAACACGTTCCTGAACAACTACTGGGTCAAACAAGAAATCAAAGGAGAAATAAAAAAAATACCCAGAGACAAATGAAAACAGACATATGACATACCATAATCTATGGGATGCTTCAAAAGTGGTTTTAAGAGGGAAGTTCATAGCAATATAGACCTACCTTAAGAAATAAGAAAAATCTCAAATAAACATTTTAACTTTACACCTAAAAGGGAACTAAAAAAAGAAAAAGCAAAGCCCAGAATTAGGAGGAAGGAGACAACTGGGGTGCCTGGGGGGCTCAGGTCATGATCTCAGGGTCCTAGGATGGAGCCCCACATCACGCTCCCTGCTGAGCAGGGAGTCTGCTTGTCCCTCTCCCTTTCCTTCTGCTCCTCCCCCCACTCCTGCTCTCTCTGTCTCTCTCTCAAATAAATAAATAAAATCTTTTTTTTTAAAGATTTTATTTATTTATTTGAGAGAGAGAGCAAGCACGAGAGAACAAGAGCCAGGGGCAGGGGCAGCGGGAGAGGGAGAAGCAGACTCCCCACCTAGCAGGGAGCCCAACATGGGGCTCCATCCCAGCACCCTGGGATCATGACCTGAGCTGAAGGCAGACGCTTAACTGACTGAGCCACCCAGGTGCCCTAATAAATAAAATCTTCAAAAAAAAAAAAAAAAAAGAATTTAAAAAAAAGTAAAAGGAAGGATACATGAAACTAAGAGCTAATTCTTTGAAAAGATATATAAAACTGACAAACCTTAAGCTAGACTCACCAAGAAAAAGGAGGACCCAAATAAATAAAGTCAGAAATGAAAGGGGAAAAGTTACAACTGATAAGGGTCATAAGAGGCTACCATGAGCAATGATACGACAAAAAATGGACAACTTAGAAGAAATGACTACATTTCTGGAAACTTACAATCTTCCAAGACTGAATCATGAAGAGATAGAAAATCTGAATAGATTGATTACTAGTAAGGAGTTTGAATCACTAATCAAAAACTTCCCAACAAATAAAAGCCCAAGACCAGATTGCTTCACTGGTGAATTCTACCATTCAAAGAAGATTTAATACCTATCCTTCTCAAACTCTTCCAAAAACTTGAAGAGGAAGGAACACTTCCAAACTCACTTTATGAGGCCAGGATTATCCTGATACCAAAACCAGACAGACACCACACAAAAAAGAAAATTATAGGCCGGTGGGTGCCTGGATGGCTCAGTCAGCAAAGCACGTGACTCTTGATCTCAGGGTTGTTAAGTTCGAGCCCCACATTGGGTGCAGAGATTACTTAAAAATAAAATCTTAAAAAAAAAAAAAAAGAAAGAAAATTACAGGCTGATATCCCTGATAAACATAGTTGCAAAAATCCTCAACAAATGTTAGCAAATCAAATTCAACCATATATTCAAAAGATCATACACCATGATCAAATGGTATTTATTCCAGAGATCCAAGAATGGTTCAACAGCCTCATATTGATCAATGTGATAAACCACATTTAAAAAATGAAAGATTAAAATCATATAATCATCATCACAATAAATTCAGAAAAAACATTTAACAAAAGTCAACCTTCATTTATGATTAAATACTCTCAACAAAGACGGTATAGAGGGAATGTACCTCAACATACATAAAGACCATATATGATAAATGCACAGCTAATATTACACTTAATGGTAAAAAGCTAAAAGCTGAAGGCTTTTTCCTTTAAGATCAGAAATAAAACAAGAATGCCCACTCTCCCCACTTGTTTTTTTAAGTTTATGTATTTATTTTTTGTAATCTCTATACCCAATATGGCTTAAACTCACAATCCCGAGAGCAAGAGTCACATGCTCTTCTGACTGAGTTGGTCAGGTGCCTCTCTCCCCACTTTTCTTCAACATGGTATTTGCAGTCCTTGCCACAGCAACTAGGCAAGAAAAAGAAATAAAGACATACAAAATGGAAAGGAAGAAGTAAAACTGTCACTGTATGCAGATGACATAATACAGAAATACAGGAAATCCTAAAGACACCACCAAAAAACTGTTAGAAATAATTAATGAATTTAGTAAAGTTGTAGGATACAAAATTAATGTACAAAAATCTGTTGCATTTCTATATATTGATAATGTACTATCAGAAAGAGAAATCAAGAAAACAATCCCATTTACAATTGCACTAGAAAGAATAAAATACCTAGGGAAAAATTTAAGCAAGGATGTGAAAGACCTGTACACTGAAAAATATAAGACACTGACAAAAGAAATTCAAGAAGATACAAATAAATGGAAAGATATTCCATGCACATGGATTGGAAGTATAAATATTGTTAAAATGTCCATACTCCCCAAAACAATCTTCAGATTCAATGCAAATCTTATCAAAATTCCAGTGGCAGTTGGACCAGGACAAATAATCCTAAATTTTATATGGAAACACAAAAGACCCTGAATAGCCAAAACAATCTTGTAAAAGAAGAACAAAGCCAGAGGTATCACACTGCTTGGTTTCAAACAATACTACAAAGCTATAGCAATAAAAATAGTATGGTATTGGCATAAAAGCAGACACATGGATCAGTGAATCAGGAAAGAGAGTTCAGAAGTAAACCCCCACATATATGGCCAATTAATTTATGACTGGGGAGGCAAGAATATACAACGGAGAAAGGATAGTCTCTCTAGTAAATGTTGCGCAAACTGGACAGCTACATGCAAAATAATGAAACTGGATCATTATCTTGCACCACTTATAAAAATTAACTCAAAATGAATTAAAGACTTGAATGCAAGACCTGAAACCATAAAACTCCCAGAATAAAACAGGCAGTAGTGTCCTTGACATCGGTATTAGTGATGGTTTTTTTTGGATCTGACTCCAAAGGCAAGGGCTACAAAAGCAAAAATAAACAAGTGGGACTACATCGAAATGAAAAGCTTCCACGCAGCAAAGGAAACCAGCAGCAAAGGGAAAAGTCACCCTACCGAATGGGAGAAGATATTTGCAAATCATATACCTGATGAGGGGCTAATATCCAAAACATAAAAAATTCATACAACTCAACAACAAAAAAACCACCCAATTTTAAAATGGGCAGAAGATCCGAATCGACATTTTTCCAAAAAAGACATACAAAAGGTTAATAGGCACATGAGAAGATGCTCAAAATTACGAATCATCAGGTAAATGCAAATCAAAACCATAATGAACTATCACCACACACGTGTCAGAATAGCTATTATCAAAAAGACAAGAAATAACAAGGTTAGGTGAGGATGGAGAGGAAAAGAAACTCTTGTGGACTGTAAATTGGTGCTGTCACTATGGAAAACTGTATGGAGATTCCTAAAAAAATTAAAAATAGAGCTACCATGTGATGAAGCAATTTTACTGCTGGGTATTCTATCTGAAGAAAAAGAAAACACTAATTTGAAAAGAAATATTTGTTGCAGCATTACTCACTATAGCCAAGATATGGAAACAACCTAAGTGTCCACTGATGGATGAATGGATAAAGAAGATATGGTATATACATGATGGAATACTACCCAGCTATTAAAAAGAATGAAATTTTGCCATTTGCCACAACATGGATGGACCTGGAGGGTATTCTGCTAAGTGAAATAAGTCAGACAGAGAAAGACAAATACCACATGATTTCTCTTATATGTGAAACCTAAAAAACAAAACAAACAAAACAAAACAAAGTCCAGACTCATAGATACAGAAAACAGATTGGTGGTTGCCAGAGGGTAAGAGGATTGCTGGGTGGAGATATGGGTGAAGGGGATCAAGAAGTACCAACTTCTAGTTCTAAAATAAGTAAGTCATGGGGATATAATGTACAGTATGGGTAATATAATCAATAACATTGTGTTAACTTTGTATGGTAACAGATGGTCATGAGACTTATTGTGGTGATTATTTTGCAATATATCCAAATGTTGAATTACTAAGTTGTACACCTGAATCTAACATAATGTTGTCAATTACACCTCAATAAAAAAAGAAAAAAGGGGAAAAAAGAAAGTATAGCAAACACATTTTATAAATATTTTCACCAAGAGCTAAAGTTCATAAAACCAATTAATGTTCTTTAGAAAATTAAATGAACCATGCTGATTAATGGAGAATTTAGTATATTACAAACATAGAAATATTAGGGGCAGATCAACATACCAAAATGTCTGGAGTGGTCAATGGGCAGATGTGGCTGGAGATTTCAAGTCTTGAATTAAAAATAAATCTTCAGAGTTGGGTACACACCTGTATTTCCATTCACTTCTGTGGAAAAAAATAAAAAGCCATGAATCAGATTTTTAAGAAGGAAATTGGAACCAGAAAGAGATGTTAACAAACAAAGGCATAAAATCTTAGGAAGAAAAAAAAGATTTTTAAAAAAAGTACTACAAATTTGGGGTAAAAGAAAACTAAGTATAATGGTCCATATGGTAAGGAAAGAATTCCATGGTTATCTCAGCCAACATGGGTGAGAGGCCATGTATTTTGTTGCCTAGAATATTCTCAGATTCTTTTCTTTTTTTTAAGATTTTATTTTATTTGAGAGTGAAAGAGGGCATGAGCATGAGCGGGGGTGGGGGGATGGCGAGGCAGAGGGAGAAGCAGACTCCCTCCCTTCTGAGCAGGTAGCCCAATGCGGGACTTGATCCCAGGACCCTGAGATCATGACTCAAGCTGAAGGCAGATGCTTGACTGACTAAGCCACCTAGGTGCCCCTCAGATCATTTTCTGTAGGGTTTTTTGTTTTCCTTAGAATCTTACTCTGGGAGAAAGTGATTGAAATGTTGGGATACAGAAAACATAAAGCATAGAAAACTCATTATCTGTTAATTATAAAATTTTATGTATATTTATCACATTTTACTTATATCTGTACTATGATAAGCATCTTTTTGATAATTCAGAGGAAATCCTATTTTTTAGAAATATAAAACTAATCCAAGATGCAGGATAAAATCACTAGGTGTATATGCAAAGAATTTAATAAACATAGGTTTAATATTTCAAAAATAACAAATTCATATTCACCATTTATTAATGCCCATAATGTGCTATGTACTGACACTTAGATGTCAAAAATATTCTACTACAGTTAATAGTAATATTTTAGGGTAAATAGTTTGCAATATATAAATTTTGTAGTTTAACGAATAAGAAATTAAGTTGTGTTCCAGGCAAGAGAAAATAAATTGATAATAAGTAATCAGTTTAAAATGAATATTATCATTTTCTTATTTAGTAGTATAGTTTTTTTCTTCCCAGTTTCATTGAGATATAATTGACATAGAAGTCTGTATTAAAGTGTATAGTATAATTATTTGATATATGCATTACAAAATGAATACCACAATTTTAGTTAACATCCATCACCTCACATAGTTACAAATTTTTTTCTTATGATGAGGAGTTTTAAGATCTATTATCTTAGCAACTTTCAAATATACAATATGTGTAACATAGTTTTAATTATATATTACTTAGAAGATGTATTTTTTTTTGTCTTTTAAGCTTTTATTTAAGGGCAATGATCTATGATGTAGATTTTAGATCTTATTAAAAGCAGCCACGCCCATGGACTGCACATAGTCCTCAAAAGCAGTGATCCGCTCCTCCAGCATATCTGTTCCAACTTTATCATCTTCCACTACACATTGTATTTGAAGTTTTTAAATTCCATATCCCACTGGAACTAGTTTAGAAGAGCCCCAGACCAAGCCGTCTACCTGAATGCTTCGGACGCACTCCTCTAGTTTTGCCATATCTGTCTCATCGTCCCAAGGTTTCACATCTAGTAATATGGAAGACTTGGCAACAAGTGCAGGTTTTTGGCTTATATGAGACAAGCACCACCAACCAGGCACCATTCTACCCAGGTCAGGGACAGAAGATGTATTTCTTTTTTTTTTTTTTTTTTTAAGATTTTATTTATTTATTTGACAGAGAGAGAGAAACAGCGAGAGAGGGAACACAAGCAGAGGGAGTGGGAGAGGGAGAAGCAGGCTTCCTGCCGAGCAGGGAGCCCAATGCTGCGGGGCTTGATCCCAGGACCCTGGGATCATGACCGGAGCTGAAGGCAGACACCTAACTGAGACACCAGACTGAGCCACCCAGGCGCCCCAGAAGATGTATTTCTAAGGTAAAATTCTTAGGATTTCTTTGTAAAAGTAATTGAATCAATGATTTATCTCAACCCAGTATGATAAAAAACTAAAACTAGCTGTGGAAGGTAAAATGACCAAAGTTAAGAGTGTATATTGTGTTTCCCTACTACTTTTAGGAAAGGTCCATTTAGAAATGACAGCAATACTTTGGGTTTATAGTTCATGTATCTCAAAAAGGTTTTTTTTATTTTTATTTTTTTAAAAAGATTTTATTTATTTCTTAGAGAGAGCGCGAGAGAGGGAACACAAGCAGAGGAAGTGGGAGAGGGAGAAGCAGGCTCCCCGCTGAGCGGAGAGCCCCATGTGGGGCTCGATCCCAGGACCCTGGGATCATGACCTGAGCCGAAGGCAGCAGCTTAATGACTGAGCCACCCAGGCACCCCTCAAAAAGGTTTTAATATTACATAAAGTTAAACTGAAGTACAGAGAAGGATCTAACAAAATTTATTTAACATGTTAATTATGCAATTATATCAACATTTGACTATCACACCCAGTTAGTCATATCCTTACTTGGTAGCAATGTTTTTCTTTTCTTTTCTTTTTTCTTCTTCCCTTCCCTTTTCTTTTCTTTTTTCCCCACCTCCTCCCTGCAATGTTTTCTTTTTAAAAAAATGTTTATACTTCATTATAAAAATGCTTAAATTCCTATTATGTTTCAAGATGAAAAGTATAGAGTAAGTGTAAATAGAACCTACCAGAACTACTCTTTTCATCATGGTACTTTGGTGCTTTTGACCTTGTCCTTATCATTAACAGATTTCCAGCACCAGCAGGACAGTGTCAGCCCTTTCAAGTTTTGTCAACTTACATTCTTTTCCTCTTCAGTGCAGTAGAGGCCAAATTCCCATTTCATCTTTCTATTACCTTTAAAGAGAATATTGCATTCTGACAAAATATGCCATTATTGAAGAAGTCATAGTTTAGCCGTAAAATATAAATATCACCTCTACTTTGTTTTATATATTTTCTTCTTTCTCTGCTATCTCTAGGCTAATGAGTCCCCAGAATTGGAAAATTCCTTGGATGAATCTGAATAATTCCTTTATAAACAAATTATTTTGACAAAAGAACATGTATAAATTGCTCATAGATCACCCAATGCCGCCTCTCTGTTTACTCCATGTAGTGATTGCTTGTGTCTCACTTCCTTGAGCTGTTTGGTATGCCTGGCTTTACATCTTTGAATATACTTACATGTTTTCTCAGGTTTTGTCTCCCTCATAGATTATAAATGCCTCAATATTAGACACAACGTGTTCCAACCAAGGATGGACTATTATTTGCCTGCAGACCTATGAATTCAAATGAAATGCTTTAACTTTTTCCTAGTTCCAAAATCCTGTTCAAATCTATGCTCTTCCTTTCAATTCCCAGAACCACAGTCCTAGTTCAGGCTCTCATTCTCTCTCACCTGACTAGTGAGTGCAGTCATCTTCTAATTATTTGCCTGGCCTTTGGTCTCTGACCTCTGGCAATTTATCTTTGATTTCTTTCTCAGTTATCTTTCTAAAGCACAGTTCTGATGTCACTCTCTAGGTTAAAAACCTTCCGTGGCTCCCCGCTGACTGCAAAATAAAATCTCCAGCTAGGCATTCAAGGTCTTTACAGTCTGGTCCTATCCCCACTTTCTAACCCCATTCCAATCACTTACTCTTCCTACTCCGTATTCTATGAGCTATTAATTGTTTACCAAATACATCTTTGCACATTCCTATCCCATCTTTATCCATTTTCTCTTTTCCTAAGTTTCTCCATCTATTCTTATCTTGTTCTTTAATAAGGATGCCAGCTCAAGAGGATCGCTTTTTACCTTTCTTGCTGTCCCTAGTCAACTTGTTTCTTGTCCTTTCCAGGGCATGTTGTTGATGTCTCCATTTTAGCATTTCTCATCGGCTCTGTACTTGAGAGGTAGACCTATCTCAGTCTCTTTATACTGTGAGCAACTTCAAGATAGGGATGATAATTTATTCAACTTTCTATGGCTACAGCCTAGCAAGTGGAGTGGGAGGAAGAGACTAACTCCGTGGGAAATGAAGGGAATATTTCTAATGACACAGGAGGGGAAATTTCCAGCCTGTTTCTTGGAAGAGGTTCAAATTCTTTAATTATAGATATCCACCTTACCTGAAGTAACTTCCTGGAATTAGAGTTCAGAGACCTTCTAATAAAAAATATATTTTCTAGAAGTCAAGTTTGTAACTTGTGAGACATGGAAGTTAAGCCTCTAAATCACAGCCACCAATTACATTTCTTCTGTGCAACCCCACCCAGCTATTAGAATTTATTAAAAGGAAATTCTACATTTAAGTCAAGAATAACTGTGATCTCTTATTTGATCAACGGCACAGTATTGTCCCGGGACCTACATCTAGCCTTACCACCACTGGTCAGTTGGCACGTGGCTTTCAGGACATCAACCGTCAGAGACAGCTCTGTAATTACTTGTGATTACTTGAATGGAACGTTTCCGAACCATGGTGGTTATTTCGCCTTCATTCACCATTAAACATTTGATTCTGTGCCAGCAGGATGTCCGGGTGCTTGGCTACTCGCATTGCGGACGCCGGCACCAGGATCGTGGCCTTTCCGAGTCAACGCTCTTCAGAGGGAAGCCGGCACCACAGCCGGAGGGAAACGAGGGCTGAAGCTGCAGAAGGGGGGCGGGCAACGTCCGCCCGCCGGCCCAGCGCCGCGACGCCTGGTGGAGGTGACGGCGAACCTCCAGGCAGCCGCCCGGCCGAGCCTCCGCACCCAGGCGCCTGCGGATGCTCTCGGGGCGGCCCCGCGCAGCCCGGCCTCTCCCCGAACGGCAGTGCGGGGCGGGGCGCTGCGCGCGCCGGCGCGTGGAGGCCGCGGGCTGTGGTGGAGCGCGCGCGGCCTGGGAGGGGCGCGCGGGGGCCGCTGCGGCCTGTGGCGCCGTCACTCGGCAGAGCCGACCGGTCCAGCTGGGCGCCGCTGCCGCTGGCCAGGCGCGGGGGACGGTTCGAGGCTGCGCTGGGGGCCGGCCCGTCCTTCCGCCGCCGACGTCCTCCCATCCACGGGCCGCCCGGGTCCGTTATCATGTCGCTGAGGCAGCGCCTGGCCCAGCTGGCTGGCTGGCTGCAGGAGCCGCAGAAAGTGGCCCGTTTCCAGCGGCTGTGCGGGGTGGAAGCGCTTCCGCGCCGCTCCGCCGCGCCCGCCACCGATCCGAGGGGGGATGAGAAGGCGGAGGCGCCCCTCGCGGGAGACGCCCGGCGCCGAGAGCAGCAGCCAGGGGCGTCCGCAGGCCCCCAGCCGCCCGGAAGCGACCGCAATCAGTGTCCCGCCAAGCGCGGCGGCGGCGGCGCCCCCAACGGCGTGCGGAACGGGCTGGCGACCGAGCTGGGCCCGGCCTCGCCGCGGCGCGTGGGGGCCCTGCGCCGCAACTCGCTGACGGGCGAGGAGGGCGAGCTGGCCCACGTGAGCAACTGGCCGCTCTACTACCTGTTCTGCTTCGGCACGGAACTGGGCAACGAACTCTTTTACATCCTGTTCTTCCCCTTCTGGATCTGGAACCTGGACCCCCTGGTGGGCCGGAGGCTCGTGGTCATCTGGGTGCTGGTCATGTACCTGGGCCAGTGCACCAAAGACATCATCCGCTGGCCGCGGCCCGCCTCGCCGCCCGTGGTCAAGTTGGAGGTTTTCTACAACTCTGAGTACAGCATGCCCTCCACCCATGCCATGTCCGGCACCGCCATCCCCATCTCCATGGTCCTCCTCACCTATGGCCGCTGGCAGGTAAGTTTCCCTCTCCTCGCCTGCTGTGCCTGGGGGAGTTCTCCGGCGGAGAACCCGGACTTCTCTTCACTCCGCTCAGTTACTTTAACTTGGCCGTTTCCCCTTCCAAACCTCTCTTTCCACGGGTTTTCACAGCCCCCCGCGAACAGGCCCTTCCTAGGTTTAAAAAAATTAAGTGATCGGGGGAAACCTAGAGACTTAGCTGTCAAACTATATTCTAAACCCAAAGGAAACGCTATTCGTGGAGTAACATTGTCATTGGGCTTTGGTTAAGTTTTTAAACAGTTTTAATTCTTGTGATGCACAGAATATAATCGTAATTAATTATAATGTTCTTATACTTAATCGTTAGGTAACTAAGACCCACTTTCACCATAATATCCGGTGCCTTCCCCCAAACTAATTCTGTTTCAGGCTTGGGTAGTCTTTTTAGCTTTACTCCGAGACAGTGTTTATAAAACCGTAGTGTAATTCCAAAACAAACATGGTCATTCTAGGCAATGAAGTAATGAATTTTAAACGAAAGCCGCTATTTATGGAAGTTAATGGAACACAGCCTGAGTTCTTTTTTTAAGGGGTGTGGTTGCTAATTTGCTGATAGACGCAAAATTTATCTTCTGAATCACTGATCTGTAGTATCAGTTGTTGAGCTACTACAGCATTACTGTTGCATTAGCTTTAAATACTTTTAAAGTTTTTCTTAAAATTAGGGTTCTTTGTCAGACTAGTGGGTTTGTAAAATTGACATGTATGACAGCAGGGCCAGCCTGACAATCAGGGATGAGTTTTTAATGGTAAACATTTTATATTTTGCCTACTTCTTTTGGCCTCCCATTTCTCACTTTTTCATCGTCCATAAATGTTCCTTGGGTTTGAAAACTAATTCTTTTCTATGGAAGCAAAATTTATTCTTAGACTGCTGTCTTGTTTTATCTTTTAAATTGTAAGGAGCTTTGTTCCTCCTGCAGACCAGTCCCTTAATTTAAGAATAAAGTTAGTAATTATGGAGAATCTAAAGAATTAGACTTACTCGATTTTTTTTTCTGTTAGAGCACAAAATCATCTTACATTGAGAAATACTCAATTCTGTGTAAAACTCCATTATGATAAGCTTACTCATTCCAGATTTAATTCCAGTATAGATAAAATCTTGTCCCCATGGGCACTTCTGTGCAGTGCATCTCTCTTACAGTAACATGGAAAATATGTAATGTGCAGGGTAAGAATGACAGAATTATGAGAGAAGAGTACCATGGACAGTTTTTTTTTCCTTCCTATTTAGCCAAAGGAGATATAGAGGCTATTCCGATTGTAAAGTAGTACTGCCTTTTTTGAAGGATAGATAAAGATCCCAAATTTTATTTAGTCTAAATATTTCAAATTTAAGATTGTCATTGAGTTATGTTTGGCATGATATTTACTAGTTAGCTAATGATGTTTCTCTTATTTTCATGAGACTTTCAGGATTCTATTACTGTAGGGCCTTTTACAACTCCTGTGTTGCATGCTGTTAATATTAGAAGTCCAAGTAAGAGAAAAGTTATTTTTTGCTCATCATTTATTCAGAACACATGCTAACAGGAAGTCTGAAAACAGTACTGCTGATTATTTATGGATTGTAGATATTAGTATTCTAACATTTCAGGGTTATTTGAATTATCAGGATAAGCTTACATTATAGTGTTTTTTTTATTTATTTACATTATAGTTTTTGAACAATCTAATATATTTAATCCAAAGTCTGAGGAATTTGTAGATCATTCAATTTTAGAAATTGAACTAGACAGGACTTTAGAAATCACCTACTCTCAAACTATCATTTTACAGAGTGGAAACTGACCTATTAGAATTAATCTTGTAAAATTAGTTTAAATTTCTTAGTTTACATATTTTTACTCTAAATTTGAGTAAACTTCTAAATTTGAATAATTGTTTAATCTTTTGGTTAGCTGTTATAGAAGAAAGCCTCCCTTGTATGGAAGTCCTGTTTATAAATGTTTGTAATAATCTAGTATAAAAACCGAAATGACTTTTTTACCTTTTTACTTTTTAAAAGTCCTTGTTATGAACTGAAAACAAAAGTACCTTCCTTTGCTTAAGTTGTTTTGGTCCTGTTCTCTGTGTTTGTATTGTTGTACTTTGGAAGCTTATATTTCCAGAATGGGTAATGAAAAAAAATATTGGAGGGGCGCCTGGGTGGCTCAGTTGGTTTAAGCGTCTGCCTTTGGTTGAGGTCATGATCCCAGGGTCCTGGGATCAAGTCCCGCATGGGGCTCCCTGGTCACTGGGGAGTCTGTTTCTCCCTCTGCCCCTCCCCATGCTTGTGTTCATTCTCTCTCAAATAAAATCTTAAAAAAATATATTAGAAACTTGGGATAAGAATTAGACAATGAAAGCCTGGTGGTTTTCTTTTCTTTTCCTTTTTTTTTTTTTTTTAAGATTTTATTTATTTATTTATTTGAGACAGAGAGAATGAGAGAGAGAGAGCACATGAGAGAAGGGAGGGTCAGAGGCAGAAGCAGGCTCCCTGCCGAGCAGGGAGCCCGATGCGGGACTCGATCCAGGGACTCCAGGATCATGACCTGAGCCGAAGGCAGTCGCTTAACCAACTGAGCCACCCAGGCGCCCGCCTGGTGTTTTTCTAATAGTAGTTTTGGTTGACAGTCCTGTCCATCTGCTGGGCCCCTACAGCTTATTCAGGCCAAGTGTGGTTACTTCTGTATGCCTAGGATGCTGAAACAGCTCTGCAAGCAGAGTTATCTCACATACCATCCCTTTGGTGTGGAGTTAACTACTGAACTCCTCCCTGCCACTTAATGTTCCTACTTGAAATCTGCTCAAGATTCACCTCCTACACAGAGCCTTTTTAATTAACCCCTTCTGTTTCATTAGTCCTCATTTGTTCTTAAAATGACCATAGACAAAAAACATTACTTGGGGCTTGTTTAAAGTGTGGGTTTCTGCACGTTACTTTCAGAGATTCTGATCCATTAGCTAGCTAAGTGAGGGTGTAGTGCATTTTACTGAAGTTTCCCAAAGATTTTTGAGGAAAAAAAATGTACTTTCTTAAACCCTTCCAGTAAAAATAATTCTTGATCCTTAAAATATATTTTATATTTCTCCAACATTGTTGTCTCACCTTTTTTGCAATTCCAGTCTTTGAATCTTTTTAAGGTATGTTATAATATCAAAAGAGAGATCAGAACAGTATGACGCCAAGCGGTTATTTGATACTAGGAGAATTTTTTTTCATGGTGATGCAAGATAGAAAACCTATGGCATTTCTCCAGGTATTAACTTGATCCATTAGCCAGGATAATAATTATTGCTCTCATATTATTTGTTGGAATCTTTTGTAGCCTGAATTGGGAAAAAATAAGAAATAGGGAGCAGGTATTAAGAACATTGTCCTTTGAAGAATAATCGAAAATTAAAAATAAAGCACTCCTTTTGTATTTATTTTTTCATGTTATTTCAAAAAATAAAAATTCTTAATTTTTAAATATTATGGCATATAATAAGTTCTAATTATATACCTGATTTAATAACATTAAGAAAGTTTTAGATTAATTTCATTAAAAAAAATTGTCATCACACACTTTATAGCCAAACCCATTCTCAACTAGTCTATATCCTCTCACTAATTTTAATAATAATAATAGTAATTCTATTATTAACATTATTAACATTTATGAAGGTCTTAGTAGAAGTCAGACATTTTTTGAAAGGTCTATTACCTGATTTAGTCTACTCTTAAAACATCCCAGTGTGTTGTTTGTTTTTTTTTATAAGAGAGGTAAGATCTTTAAAATTTTATTTATTTATTGACAGAGAGAGACTGTGAAAGGGGGAACACAAGCAGGGGGAGTGGGAGAGGGAGAAGCAGGCTTCCTGCTGAGCAGG